GTGTACTTAGTTGGGATGACTCAGAAATTATAACTTTCTGAGACAAAAAGTTCTGCTTTACTCTTTCAGTTTCAGCATCTCTACCTCTTCTATTTTAATAAACTGTTACGTTGCTTAGTAATAGTTGAACCAAGGAAACCCTCCAAATGTATTCTCGAGTGTACTAATTGCCAAAAAGGCTTGTATACAACAAAAGTATACCACCTATTAACTAGGTGTGTTAAACGCCCGGGAAACCCACTCTTATGTCAGAAATCAAAAGAAGTTTCTTTGAATTCGTTAGTTGTGAAAACACCCATCCGGCTCCAGATCTCAATAATATTTTTTTTATTAAATTAGAACGCCAACGGACTAAACAAATAGAATAAACTGGTATTAAAGGTGTATAATTGAAGTATGGCCCGCTTCCTGTTTGTCAGCATAATAGAGCAACGACGCGACGGTATAAGAAATGTGTAAACCGTGCGGCGTCCTTTCGTCGATTCAACGAAGACCAGGCGGCGGCAACTATGATACTGGACGCCGCGCCGGACGGTGTTATTCGGCCATGAGACCCTGGTACCATTTTCGAGACCCTCGGATAGGACCTACGATGCGTCGAGCATGACCACGACCACGGTTACCTAGATAACCGTGACCACGATGGACGCTGGTATCGTTTCGCCGAAAACACACTGGGATCTAAAACCGAGAAAACCAGAAACCGAAAATTAGTTTTATTTAGATTTTAAGTGAGAAGGCATGAAAATGTCGGTAAGCTCTCGGAATATTATTATACATTTTTATCGACTTTTGATTTAGGCACAACTAATAAACGATTTAATTTTTTTCTCGGAAACGTTTACAGTTAAAAAATATACACATATTGCACGAATAGCGTTAGAAAGAGGTCACGATGATATTATCCTATTCCATTATCACTACCAATACGACTCTAATGAATTAATTCGGCATCAAGTAATTTAAATAAATAATACCTATACTTCAAACGGCTAACCGTTGTACGCGATTTTTTATTTTTTTTTATAACAAGTAGGTTCATAACTGCAATAATATTATAGAACAATAATAATATTAATACATTTTGAATTTAAAAATGGTGCCAATTGTTTGAACCATTATGAAAACTTTTATCGCGATCCCACCGCTATGAGCACGGTTGTCGGACGCCACACCCTATAAAATAATTCCTTTGTTTCGAGTGCGATGAATATTCTAACAAAATCGTACCAGGGTCCCATGTTCATTCGGCGTCAGATGTACGCAGCTCGGCTCAATGATAGGATAATTTTAAATTTGTTGGTTTTCAACTGCTGAAGGAAACATACCGTAATTTAAAATAAAAATATATTGTAATCATATACTTTCCATTATTGGTAAAAAAAAATTTTTAAGCGACGGTTTAAACGCATGAGAATGGTTGGAATGTCAACTTGACAGTGCGCCAAGGTAAATTTCAAGAATACCAGTGTATGAATACCTACATGAACCAATTCATTTGGGTTTTCTCACCCTCATATCTCATCCTTCTCCTGAGATTGGCTTTTGAAATTTGAAACACACATTTAACTTAAGTATCTTAGAACACAGTACAAATTGACTATTGAGCCTTATCAAAGAGGGAGAAAGTTTACATTTTCGTTCAACATACGTTTTCAAAGTTTACATTTTTATAAGGACAAATTATAAGGCACTTACCGTATTGATAGAAACCTGAAAATTAGAACAAAGGCACGTGTTAATACTAAAATTTAATCTGATGTCCATACTAGTATTAACACATTTTAAACATAAAACGAGCGGCATTTATTTAAAAACGCCACACCCCATAAAATAATTTCTTTGTTTCAAATGCGACGACTATTCTACCAAAATCGTACCAGGGCCCCATGTTCATAGGCTATAGCTCACCGACTTAACCATCCGGCGTCCGATGTATGCAGCTCGCCGCAACGATAGGATAATATTAAATTTGTCGGTGTTCGTTTACTGTAAGTACACTATAGGAAAGTTAAAATTGTACCGTAATTAAAAATAAAAATATATTGTAATCATATACTTCCATTGTAGCTAAAAAAAATGGCTCTTCTTCACAAAGAAGATCATAAGAGTCGTACCAATACGACTCTTATGAGTTAATTCGGCGTCAAGTAATTTAAATAAATAATACCTATACTTCAAACGGCTAACGTTGTACGCAATTTTTTTTTTTTTTTATAACAGATAGGTTCATAACTACAATGATATTATAGAATAATAATAATAATAATATTAATACATTATGAATTTAAAAATCGCGCCAATTGTTTGAACCGTTATGAAAACTTCTATCCCACCGCTATGAGCACGGTTGTCACTCCTTATAAAATAATTCCTTTGTTTCGAGTGCGATGAATATTCTAACAAAATCGTACCAGGGTCCCATGTTCATTCGGCGTCAGATGTACGCAGCTCGGCTCAATGATAGGATAATTTTAAATTTGTTCGTTTTCACCTACTGTAGGAAAGTTAAAACATACCGTAATTTAAAATAAAAATATATTGTAATCATATACTTTCCATTATTGGTAAAATAAAAGTTTTTAAGCGACGGTTTAAACGCATGAGAATGGTTGGAATATCAACTTGACAGTGCGCCAAGGTAAATTCCAAGAATACCAGTGTATGAATACCTACATGAACCAATTCATTTGGGTTTTCTCACCCTCATATCTCTGCTTCCTCCTAATATGGACTTTTGAAATTTGAAACATACATTTAACCTAAGTATCTTTGGACACTGCACAAATTGAGCCTTTTCAAAGAGGGAGAATATCAAAGTTTACATTTTTGTAAGGTACTTACTATACTCATCATTAAAATTATAAGGCACTTGCCGTATTGGTAGAAACCTGAAAATGAGCACAAAGGTACATGTTTATACTAAAATTTAATCTGATGTCCATACTCTAATGTGCAGAAATTAAGTTAATTTGGTGTCAAGTGATTTAAAGAATTTTCAAATTAATGAAATTAACACGATTTTTGAACTTTTTTTATAACAATTAGGTTCATAACTATAGTAATGTAGACTATAGTATAACAGTATTAAAACACATTTTAAATTTAAAAACGAGCGACATTTATTTAAAAACCCCATAAAATAATTTCTTTGTTTCGAATGCGACGACTATTCTACCAAAATCGTACCAGGGCCCCATGTTCATAGGCTATAGCTCACCGACTTAACCATCCGGCGTCCGATGTATGCAGCTCGGCGCAACGATAGGATAATATTAAATTTGTCGGTGTTCGCTTACTGTAAGTACACTATAGAAAAGTTAAAATTGTACCGTAATTAAAAATAAAAATATATTGTAATCATATACTTCCATTGTAGCTAAAAAAAATCGCCCCTCTTCACAAAGACTTTCAAATCACATATTGAACAATCTTGAAGGTCTTTTCACAAGTTTTTAATCGACGGTAGTTAAAATCGTGTCTTTAAAACTCAGAGTTATGCGATATTAGAGAAACCCTATTAAGTCTTGTGTACCCATTTTAATTATTTAAAAATGGTTATCGACCAGTCAAAATGTTCAGTAAATTATTCTTTAATAAAAAAATCAACTTAATTCACATGTTACCTACTATTTATACTTAAAAAGTTAATAAAGCTTTGCCGAATACTAAAAAAAAAAATTGAATGTTTTCTATAGGGTATTTTGTACTTAGTCTGCAGTCAGCTTAACTATAAATATATAATTAATTCGTAGTTAATAGTTATTACATATAATTACAATTTAGATAATTTAAACCAGTTATTTGATACAAAATAAAAATGGTGCCCCGCCAAAAGTACAACTTATAATTTCATGGTCGAAATGAGATATTTTCATAGGTTTAAGGTGCCTAAAGGTTGTAATAAAATTTAGCGTAAATATAACATTGGCATTACCATTATTCTGTGTTCTTATTAAGTCTAATTTCCATTCTGAAAAATGTTATGAATTCCTCATTAATCATTATCTTTTCTATCGATTGTTGCATATTATTTTCCAATATTTGATAATAGTTAAAAAAAAATAATAAGAAAAAATTGCCTTTATGGATTACAAAAATTGAAAAATAATTTAAAAAAAAATTAAATATCAAAATAGACATTTTTTCCTGTGTGACTATTTATGTTTACAGATTTTATCATAAATGGTTTCAGTAAAAAGTTGCCTATATAATCACCGTGAGGGCCCATAAGAGTTTTTATATGTAGCTACTTAATTGCTTAATTTATTTAATATCAATATATTTATAATTAAAATAAAATACAAATTCAGTTTTACATAATTTTAAAAATGTGTATGAATTCAAAATAATTGTTTAACAACCAGTTCGATTTTTTAATAATATATTATAGTAAGTACATTTTTATTATTTTTTTTGTAATTTTTCTCTGGAATATCTGTTGTCTACTTAAATGTATCAAGTACAAAAGGTAGTACAATGTTAAGTTACAATTAACGATCAACAAATACTATTTAAGTATAACTATAAGATTTAGACCCTCGAAACTTTAGTCTATTTGCGCCTAATATATAAATTTACAATTTTTATTTCACTTTAAGTTAAAATTAATAGAAAATGTTGAATTAATATTTTGTATTGCCCTAAACTAAAAGACTTATGCTTTTGTATTCGACTCAATTTGGCCTCAAGATTGTCAAATGAAAAACAATAATACTATACCTACTAAAAAATGACTCGGTCATAGTCGTACATAAACATTATTACTTTATAGTAAATTAATTAACGCTACTACAACAATTACTAATTATTTAAAATATCATATAATTACTATATAGATAATCCATTTATTGGAATAAACTTTCACTTAAATTTTTTATTTTCCATGTTTCCGGGTAACTTTTCTAATTTTTCATGGAAAAGCCTTATTCGGACTATTACAAACATAAAAAAAAAAATGAGACAAATCGGTTACGAACAGCATTACATTTTTATTTATATAGAAGATTATAACCTTTCAATAATTACATCTATGATAATGAGCAATTTAAATACAATTTTTTTTTTTACAAAACTGAATGCTATTAACAGTTAATGTCAGAGATGATTCATATAATACAAGTACATGACTAAACAATGTTGGGGTGGAAAAATAGTGTAAAGCCGTATCTAGTAATAAGGACTGTTCAAAAATCAGTTAAATACTTAATTGTATTAAATTCAACTATAACATTAAAACTAGTTTTGCTTTATTAGAATATATTCCCCTTTAAATTTTAAATGGCACATGTTATAAACTAAATACATTAATAAATCGATGGTAACAATGCAAAAGTACAATAATTCTTCAACAGTAAAAAAATAATTTTGTTTGTTAGCATAAACGACACGACAAAAATTTAATATTACTTGATAGGTAAAGTTGTTAAAGCAAAATAGAAAATTTAACACAGATCGTAAAACAAGTTTGGTATACCACGTTGGCTTTTACCAGTATATTCAATAACATATTTAACACACAAATAAGTACCTAAAATAAATTGTACATTCATATTAGATTGCGACAATGGAAATAAGGTTCTGTTAAATAAGAGTTTGGGTCTTAAACCAGTTTACTTTATACATTTTTTTAAAAACATGATTTGTCTAAATGTTTAAAAAACACAACAATTCATCAAAATTGTTAATGTCGTAATGTAAATTAATTAAAATTAACAGTCGGTAATTATCATATTTTATCTCTGCGTACAAATGCGATCGATTAACATAGGTGAAAATTGATCGGGGGAGAACTAATAGATCTTCATCAGCACCGACAGATTTATGCACACATTGCATTTAAGGATGATTCTTGTGTTTCCTAAAAATGAAAAATTGTTTATAAATAGTGTTTGTGGACAATATTACATAATCAAATTTCTTTGAATTAAATTAAGTATCTAGTAACCAAATATTAATATTATATTATCGTATTAAAATGTTTACCAATTGAAAGAGAACTCTATAATTTAGGACATATCCATGTCTTTTTATATGACATCACGGAGCCATTGTAGAGTCCATCTTTAAAGCAATGAAGATATACTCTGCAATGTCGGCACATACAAAAAGACACAGATACATATAAAAATTATCAATTTAATACTATATTTTGTTAACATTGTGGATTAGTCACCTTTGCACAAATTAAATGGCATTTTAAACTATTTCATCGTGTTTAACAAATAAACACGTATCTTTTACGCTTTGCATAATTTGTTGTAGTTGAATAATTACAGTGACACCACTATTTGGTAATAAATGTTTTCTAAGTCATAAAAGACATAGTTTATCATACTTGTATCCAGGTCGCTCACTTCCAGCTCGTATGGCTCTTTGTCCAGCAAACGCTGTATAAACTGGAACGGTAGTAAATTAATCAGCACCGTACGTCAAATTAACCAATCCACAGTCAATATGACTGGATCGTAAAGAAAGTATAAATAAAGCTATTTAAATAATAATCCGAAATTAAATGATAAAATATGATCAATTACTAACCATTAACGATTCCATAAATAATGTTTTAACAGATGTTGGTAAAAAAAACGTATACAAAAGTTCTCCGAGCAGGTCAAGGGCGCTTATAATCGTTTATCTTTTTCATCCATGCATCAGAACAGGAAACAGTTTTATCCTAAAATAAAAATGTATAATATTTTATTGGCCTTTGGCTTAATCTTATGTTAAAAAATATTCAGTTTTTTCAATTTTAATTACAGTTTAGATTGTTTGATAAAATAATTAAGTATTTGGTTCTAAAAAAAAATGATTACCAGAAATATCAATACTTCTAACTGTAATTTATTAAGACCACAATATTAAACAGACTCAAAAAGTATCAGGGGCATACAATTTATACAATAATAAATACTTGTGTGTTACCTCTCAAGAAAAATTATTTAGTTGGATACAATCTTCTTTGTGATATTGTCATCAGCGTTATCACTCTACTTAAAATTTAAAACAAATTTGAAGTTGTAAAATGTTCGTTGTTGCAGATAGTAAACTAGCTGTAATGTTGGCCGTTTCTAAAAAATAAATGATATATTAAATAAAGAAATTGATCAGTTTTCATATAGATTAGTTAAATAACATTTCTGTATTATTACTTTCAACTTTTTTTCAAAATACCCATTTAAATATCTGTCAATAAACTTCTCTAGTTTACTTTGCCGAACAGTTGACTAGTAAGAATAAGAGATTACTTATCGTTTCATTCAACAAAATACCTTATCATATAATTAAAAAAAAAAAAGATGAATAATAACAAATACAATAATTTTGTAGTGATAGCACTTTACCTTAATTTTTGTATTAGGTTCAGAGCAGTTATACGATCTTTTTGAACAGCCAACAGTTGACTGAAATTGGTTTCTTTGTTTCTCGTGCTCCACAGCTTGCCAATGTCTTGGCACTCATTTTGCGAGGTACTAATATGATGATTGCTTCCTCGTATTGACATTAAGCACTATCAATGAAAATTAATATTTTATTAATTTGTAATTATATTTTATTATTGATATTGTTCCTTCAGAGAAATCTTAATCCGATGCTTTGTATTTGCAGATTTCTCGTAGAAGGTTATGTAAAATAAATGCATAGTTATTTTTTTTGACTACCTGTGATACTCAAGTACTCTTTCTGCTTTCAGTTAATCCCGCAAGTATTGATGTTTGAAATTTCTCATGTAGACATACATTAAGTTACGATACTTTGTAATCAGGCCCTAATTACCTTGTAAATCCAGTGACGTTTATGGCTTGTAAACAAAAGTTGAATAAAAGGTCAATTCAAAATTTGAATCTTCTACTCCGTACGCAGGTTTTCCATCTGTAATTATTATCAAAAAATTTAACAAAATGTAAGTATAAATAAAAAAAATAAAGCTCAATTGACCACAAATGTGTTAATATAAAATAGTTTTTACTCTTTTATAAATTCAATTGTGTATATTTTATTACAAACAAATACAAGTTTGTTTACCGTAGACAGATAGTTTTGATTTAAAAAGAATTAAAACGATTTGTTTATACCTTACTGGTAACTTGAGTTATCCTATCGACTAGTGTAAAAATTAGTAGTACTAAATGCAGTATAATAATATTAACCAACCTTTGTTTTTGAGTCGATATCCAATCATTTTTACACGACACTAATACAATTGATTTACATAGAAAAGTACTAATAGCAAGAACTGTAGAAGAACTACTGTCTACTGTGTAAGTATGATGAATATTATACATTTAGTCATTTGTTTTCTAAGAAAAATAATTACAATACTGGTGGGTGCCTTGTGAAGTTCAATCCTACAGTAATATTATAGCTGAATAGTGATTGTCGATTTGAGATTATTATCAGTCACATCTTATCAAATCTTATCAGTAATAATAACACAGAACAAACTGAAGGGAAACTTACCTATTTAGTTTATGGGATAATGAGCTTTTCTAAGAATTCTAAGAAACGTTTGATTTCAGGTAATTAAAAAAATAATAAAATATGTATCAATTTGCCCTAATTATAGCTTTTAAATAAAAAACGAGGCCTAAGTTTAATTAAATAAGTAAATACATTTAGTAATTTAAGGTTTAAAGTTCAATACATTTAAGACTTAAAATGCAATTATGTTTTACGTTTTATATCTGAATAAATCTGTGTTACTTAATTTTAATGAAAGTTTTGAAAAATATATTATCGAGTATGTAACCCTGTTTATGTAATTGGACTTAATACCCTTTCCCAAGATCATCGGAAATTTAACAATTTATTATATTGCCTAAAAATGTATGTTCTTAATAATTTTACAAAATATTATTCAAAAACATAAAAGATATTATAAATATTTCCTATAAATATTTTGCAATTGGCCATAACACTCTCTTCAACTTCTCACCCAATTTTCTATATAATTATAGATACTAATAATACCTATGTACCATTTATCTTTTCTGCTTCTCATATAAACAATTACCATAGATTATACTATTACTATAGGATAGCCGATAGGAATATTTCGTTCATGTAATTTTATTTCTGTTATTATATAAATATATTAAAAATTTGGTTAACTATGTTTGAAAAAAAAAGTGTAAAAGCTTAAAAGTCGATTTTAAAGTGAAGGGTAAAAATAATAAAACAGCCGTGCTGCAATCAGAAAGTGGGGATCATAGCCAAACGCATTGTACAATACAATATAAAGGATAAACAATAAGTAAATAAACACAGTGTAAAATACACGTGAACCGATTGTAAAAACAAACTCGGAAAATATTAATAAAGAAAAAAAAATGTATTTATCTATCCGTTGCTTAGTGACGACCGCTAGAAATTGCATACATAGATGTTTATATTATACACGTCTGAATTTAAATCAATTATAATAATTTATTATAACAATGATGCAACGCCGTCGATTTTATCAGCTCGTTTTCCACTTGTTCGTTTCGGTAGGAACCACCAGACGAGCCGTGGCCGAAATAGCACAACGCGCTTCTTATCAACAACGGGTACAGGTCATGACTTCCATGACTTCTTCTCTGGTCACGGCGGGATACAAGTAAAACGTCCCGGACTTCCGGCAAACTTCAACTTACAAAACAGATTGTTCGCTTCATCGTCGGACCAAACCCGAGTTTGGTTTTTGGGCTTTAAATCGTGCAGAGCACATTTGAACGCCAAAGGTGGTATTGTTTTCAACTGGTAGGGATATTTTCGCATCCGGTCTCGGTTCACCGTTTCCACAAAGCCATAATCAATGCTGTGAACCGTCAGCCACTTCTGTCAGTTTTCTTCGTACCCGTTTACATTGATTACATCTTACATTGATACCATTGCGTTGGTTCGATGCGAAAACCGAGTAGACTTGGCAATTGTTGTGGCCTATGTTGACGCTGATGTGCTTGGTGTTTGCGTGCTTGGCCAGCTCTTCTTTGATCATCGACAACACATTGCTGTTAGCTTGGAGCTGTACATAGAAGTCTGACGGCGAGTTCACGTCCGTCACTATAACCGGCTCCACTACGTTCCGGGGATATTGCTTTGACAGCGGTTTTGTATTACATCTAAAATATTATATTGTTATTATTGCAATTATTTTTAACCAACAATAATACATGTTGTATATTACATTAGAATTTACACAAATTTATTTATTCGTCTATTATAGGTACAAATGAATTGGAAATAAACAAAACTTAAAATGTAATCTATATTATTTTAATATGTAAAAAAAATTGAAGTTACGAGGTTGGTTCGCATTACCAAAATTTACCACTGCTGTTTTAATTTTGGATAACAAATTTAGAACATAATTTATTACTTTTTATAGGGTTTACTTGAGTAAGTCATGCATTAGGCAGCCTGTTGGACAATGCACACATGACTGAAATTTTGAAGCACACCTCAGCCTGCCGAATGGGTTTTAATTTTTCGCTGTAAAACTTAACATCCCTTATATAGAGTATATCTACTTAGGGTTAAGCTCAATGGCAATTAAGGCTTGATCATAAGGAGGATCATAAGAAGTATAATACATAATATGGATTATGTATTAGAATATAAAACATAATATAGGTATTTATCTGGTATTTGTAATTTTATTAAATGCAATAACATAATAATTAACAATAGGGTAAGTTAATCGTACCCATCTTACATATAGTATTATTGAAATACAAGCTTTTTCAAACATAGTTAATCAAAATTTAAAAATATTTATAGAATAACAGTAATAAAATTGAAGAAAATGAAATATTCTTATTCCATAGTGATAGTATAATCAATGTTTATTAATTGTATTAAGAAGCAGAAAAGATAAATGGTACATAATAATAGTATCTATAATATAGAAAATTGGGTAAGAAGTTGATGAGAAGTGTTATGGCCGATTGCAAAATAATAATAGGAAAATATACCTAATAATTTTATAAATATCTAAATAACACATCTTTTTTCACATATTGATATTGTGATTATGTACCTTAAAGGAAATGACAATAAGTATAGAAAGAAATCATCGAAATTATCATTTGTTAGAAATTCGCCAAAAACTGTAGCGGATCTTTTAATAATTTGAAGTTTAAAATTAAATAATATGCATTCAACTTGCGTTATACATTTTATTTCAACCTTATGTTTACACAAAATGTTAACGATTTATTTTCTTACATTATAATATACAATATATTTTCAACTATTTTTTATATAGTTTTCTATAATTTTCTATATTATCTTATAGGAAACAAGTTGTTTTTCATGTTGTAATATAAATTAATTGCAAACAACTGTAGGTATCATTCATTATTAAATTTTAACATTATACATTACAAAAACTACTATTACAGAAATATTATATTTATTTTTCGTAAATAAGTTGGGTTTTAAAAGTATTTTGTCATGTTATTTGTGTACTCAAATGTTTGGAACTATTTATTTTCTTGCATTGTAAAACCTAGTATCACAGTAAAATACCCAAAATACCAAAAAAACGTGAAAATACAAAGCTAAAATATCATAGCTCCCAATTATATGACAAAAATAATTAAATTTAGATTTTTTACATTATTGGATATAATATATATATAATTATTGAAACATCTAGTTTCTACCGTGCAAGAATTAAATTAGGTCAAACATTTAAATATAAAAAAACTGCAAAACAGAATATGTGCCTAAAAACAACTCGTTTTCGATAAAAAAAAAATAAGTAATAAAACTACACAAAATTGTTTTTGTAAAATAGGAAGATTCATGTAATATTCAAAGTTTGTGATACTTATAAGTCCTTACTATTTGTTTAAATTACAATAGTCGCTGTGAAAACGATAAATGATCTTACAAAACTTGCCTTATCTCACTCCACCAAGCACCTGCACACAATACATTTATAGTTACTATAAAATAACGTTCTACAATACATTCAAACACAAGCATCAAAACAAAATTCGCTATAACAATTTTGCTCGTATTTTCATTTATTTACACTGCCTCAATCAAAGCATATAACAATTTACTTTCAATTAAAAAAACTACAATAAAACTATTCACGTTTTCTTGTAAAAATTGAAAATTCTTATTATGTTAAAACATAATAGATTATAATTAAAATCCATTAAACAAATGCTCTGAATAAGTTAGAAATTTGAAAGTGATTTTATCAGAGAGGACTAGTACAGTAGAGTATAGGCACAATGGAATCAAAGCATAGAGGGGACGGAGAGGTCACAGGTCTATTGGAATTATTATAAAATGCATAAAATCACTTTCAAATAAACGCTTTGATACTTTGACCCTTGAAATATTATTTGTAAATTTCAACTCGATCCGACTCGTTTTCTCTAAATGATAGCCAGTAAAAGTTTTAACTTTTAACATCGTATGTTTTTTTTTCAAATTTTAACTGTGGGGAAGTAAAATATTTACAACATTAAACCCCTCTTTCCTCAAGTACCAAATAGATGGAATTTGTGATTTATAGAGTTGATACCCGAAGGAATTGGTCCAGTATTAAAAAAAATACAGTCTATACAGACAAAAAAAAAGCACACAACTGTCATTTTCGTTCACGTTCCTCAAAAAAAAGAATTCGTTAATTTTCCTCGTTCCTTTAAAAATAAAGGAAGCAGTTTTGTTATATCAAATGCATTAACTATAATCTTATGGTGAATTAATTAACATTTAATTTAAATAAATGTGTCTATTATTTCTAAAATACCACACACAAAGGCTAAAGTAACAAAAAAAAAGGCACCTTCAATAAACTTGAACGAAACAGTATAATACGTAGAACAAATACATTTTGCTCCATTAATAAATTATTAATAATGACAAAGAACAATTACATTTTATTTGTTCCGGAACAAATATCAAAGGAACGAGTTCCAGGTAATTGTTCTGGAACAAATATCAAAGGAACGAGTTCCGGGTATTTGTTCCGGAACGAATATCTTGAGGAACGAGTTCCGAGTATTTACTCCGGAACGAATATCTCGAGGAACGAGTTCCGGGTATTTGTTCCGGAACAAAAAAGAGAAATGAGTCAAATAGAAACGAATTCCGAACCCCTGCTATTCTATACCTACAACTATTATAGTATTTTTTCGAAAGTTGAAATAGTGTCATATTATTAATTTGTATTTTAGTTATTAATTTTTAAATTAATACAAAATCAGAAAAAGAACAAAACTAATGCACCAATAAATACCGATTTTGAATTACAAGTGATTTAAAACCCTTCAACAATATCGGTGTCAATATAATAATTTGATTAAAATGTGTACAACATATTACGGGAATAAAGATGGTACCTCGTAGAGATCGGTTTAAC